TAAATATTTTTGGTTAGTGTTAAGGGGCCAGTTTAACTCGGTAGAAGATACTAACCTTCATTAGAGCCCGATGATTTGGAGGGGGATGTTAATATTTTCCAAGCAGAAACGAAAAATCCTGGCCGCTCCTTTGTATCGGTCCCTGAGATCAACAAGATACCATTTTCCCTCAACTCTTCATATTCTTTGTCTTCCGATTTAATAAACGACTTAAAAATAGAAAATCCATGATGAATAAGCAAGGATTTCCATTGAGCCCACGTCTGGTGCCGCTCCACCCTGTTACTACCCTCACACGCCACTATGTTGCATATTTCATATCTAAAATACGGCTCGCCTTCCCGGAGAAGATATGCTTCTTCGAATAGAGAAGAATAATATCTAAGTGATTCATCAAACCGCAATAAAAAATCAGACAGATTGTGGTTAGCATCATGCTCTACAACAATCATAACATCCACTGTCATGACATCCCTCACCCTTTGTAACAGCTTCTCCAGAGCTAATGCCTCAGATAACATTTTGCTGAATACAAACATGCAATTCACAACCACAAACTCGCCATCCCGCATCTCCAGCAAAGACACATCAATGTCAGCGAAACTGTTAACAGCAATAATCTTATATTCCAACTCAATGTCACAGTTGTTAGCGAACCCAATAAGTCTCTCCTCACTTTCTTTCGAAAATTCAAATTTTTCTTGTACAAGGAAACTTAACCTTAAATGCGTCAGGTCACCCCAGTCACCCCACGTATCAACCTCAAATAACATGGATGCCCATTGCTCATAACCATCCATGTGCTTGACAAGTTCAATAACATGGACTTTGCATTTTCCCTTGACGACATGTGAAATACACCGACCTACAGTACCAAAAAGGTCACACCAGTTACACATCCAAAACTTCCAGTCAGGTGATGGGAATGAAAAATATTTAGGATGAAGTCCATAGGCTCGGCAAGCGAGAGCCTGTGCAAAATATCCGATCAATCTTCTAGTTGTAGGCTTGGTTTCCTTTTCAGCAAGAAAAAGAACTCTTCCCATCTCTGCATTTGCAAGTCTCGGATTCCCATGTTGAAGCGCCTCCGCGCATTTTTTCAAGGCGTCAACAACATCCCCCCTCATCCTCCTCGACTAGAGAATGATTTTTCTTTTTCTCAACTGCAACTCAACTAATTTCTTTTAAGTCTTAATGTCTTTGATGATCACTTTATAGAATTTAAAGAACAGAACAGCTTCTCTCCTTTCACTAACTTTTGGAATTTAAAAAAAAAAAAAAGATAGAAAATATAATCAATAGGATTTTTA